CTGACTCCTCCCCCATTAGCTTTATATTCTGTTCACTATTGAATACTGCTGATTGCATGGTGATAGCCCTTGGACCTGTCCTTTCCTTTTTACAGCTATAGCTACCAACACAGGCACTTGAGTCTCACAGCTAAATTACCACAATAGCCTTTTTGCTGTTTTCCAAGACCCTGGTTTCTCTCTGAATTAGGCTCATACTCAACTGTTAGACTAATCTCCATCAAGCACTCTTCTCATTGAGTCATTCCCCTAATTCAAGGTCCACTATATCAAGTTCATATACCACACAAGTTAGCATTTTAACTCCTCCCCATCTCTACTTCCTTCTCCTTATCTCTTCTTACTTCCCTAAATGGAGCCAAACTAATTAGGTAGGTAGGTATCCCTATTTAATGATTTGTTTGTTCTCACTTTCTTATGCACACACTCTGTCAGATGGGCTTTTGTTTTTCTGTTCTGAGTATTTCATTGCCTTCAATGATTGACCCCATTTGACTCCTTTCCTCTTTCTTTTAAAAAAAATTCTTTCATCCTTTCAATACTCAAACATTTAGTTTGTGTAGTAATAAGGTCCTTGATACTCTGTTATTGTTTGTGTCTTTTGTTTTAGATAGACCGCTTTTCAAAGCATTGTTCCACTTGAGAACTATGGTTTCTGTTTTGTTTATGGCTTTCTTCCTTTCTTACATATGGCAGAGTCCTGAACATAATAGGTATCCAGTAAATCTTTCTGGCTGACAGATCTATAAAAGTTTGGGGGGAGCTGTTGTTACTAAACTGAATGTGGATCCGTTTGCCTATTGTACAGAAAAAGCCAAACACTGACACCGGGACTTGCAGTAAGAGAAAGTGAGATGTTTATTGCAGGGTACCAAGCAAGGAGAATGGCCAGCTAACACTTAAGACTTGAACTCTCCAATGGCCTATTTATAAGGATTTTTAAAGGCAGGGAGGCACAAGTTATAAGTAAAGTCATAAATCAATACAGGGGGGTTATGTATTGGTTTGTCCCCAAAAGGCAGGACACCTTGAAGTGGGGTCTTACAGGTCATAGGTGGATTTAGTGATTTTTAAATTTGCAGTTGGTTAGAGGAGTCTGAAAACTTGGAGTCAGCAAACAGAAATATTTAAGTTTAGCTTTAATGTATGTGAAGATAAGGAAGTCTGTTAATCATCATGTGATGTTATGTCAGAATCAGATTGTGAGAGCAAGCCAAGATATATTGGGTCAGAATGACCAGGTTAGCAAGACTGATGGTCTGTAGACATGACTCAGTCCTGGCCCCTCAGGATAGAATTTTAAACAAAAACAGTGGTCAAGTTCAGTCCTTGGTTCCCCCTATTTGAGGTCCTTGTGACATCATTTTTCATCTGGTAGGGGTCTTAACTTCTGAGAAACAACTCAAGGACATATGTCTAGATGTTAGCTTTAGTTTGTTTAAGGAACCTAACATCCTGTGACTGTGACCTATCTGGGTGACTATTGTTCAAGCAATTGTTATATTTTTGCTCAGCAGGTGGTTCATTTGCTTCTCTAATTATTGGTTGCAGGGCTTGCTAGGTGTCTGGAATTCCCTTGGAGGGACTCAAAATTTTTCTTTCTGTCTATACTCAGAGGGCCTGACAGGCCCTTAAGAGGAGTCCCTACTCCATATCAATGTGCAGTGTTTAGCATCATCATCAGTTTTCGATTTTAGAAATGCAGAATAATGCCTTTTATGTCCTTACCTGGTTTTAAGATTTTATTTTTTGTTTTATGCTGGTGTTGAAGACAGTTTTTTCAGTATGGTAAAAAGAATTTCAACAACATATTACTGCAAATATTAAATCAAGTTTATTAAACACTAGCCACCTGATATATAAGATTGTCTCAAGAGAAAGGTTAGCATCCTGGATGCTGGCTAGGCATTTTTTTGAAAGTACATAATGGCTTTAAAGCCATACTCATTTAATATATTTATATTAAGATCCTTGACAATTTAAAAGAGGCATATGCACCAGCACCTGGAATAAAGGATGGTGACTCTTCTTTTATTGTCTAAAGCTGTGCTTCTGTTGCTGACCCACTCTTAAAAAGAAGCATTTCTTTCCATAATTTCCGTGTCATCCAAAGTCAGTATTGGGAGGGAAAGGAGGATTATTGGAATGGAGCTTGGCTGAGAAAGGATACAAGGCAGAAGGCAGCTTCTAAGCCTGTCTGCCCATCTTCTTTCTTACTTCAGGAGCGTAGAGTCGACTTAAAGATAGTTCTCAGTTCATAGCACTTTATTAACTTTATCAGTGCAAGACTTCTTTCTTGTTTTGCTATTTAAGCCCTTTATCCTCAGTCTGCCTGCCAATTCCCTTTCCTGCTCATATGCACCTACCCTAATGTGTTTGTTTTATGTCTTTATACCTATATATTTGCTTTAAAGATATATGATATGGTTATATGTGTGTCTTCAACTTATATAATAGTATTTGCTTATTTTTTACCTAATCCTGTTACCAAAAGCTTGATACTTGTCCCTGAGGCTGAATGAAAGAGAGTGAAGAATGTGGACAAGAAGTTTGAGGAAAAGGAAAGAGAAATTTGTTTATTAATTTGCTGGCAAATGAGGGTGGTGGCAGACTTGTGTCTCAAAAACCAGCATCCTGCCTTTAAGCAGAAAAATAGGGAGTTTTAAAGGAGGAGGTTTGGCGGTTGGGCTCAGGTCTCCCTGACCAGTGTCACAAGTCATGGCTTCAGGCTATTTTTGTTTATTAATATAATTGGTGGTTTTGGTCTTGGGTTATCTCTGCCTGAGGACCGTATCTCTGATTGAGGACAATCTGACTTTATCTCCCATAAGCAATGGTCTTGTGACTCTTGTCCTACAATCTTGTGACCCTTGTCCACAGAATTCTGTTGAGCCATCTCCTGTTGTTTAAGATAATAGAAAACAAACAGCAAAGAATGTTTTTCTGCCCCTTTGATCATTGGCCTCAAGAAGGAATGCAAGTTTTAATTCCCAAAAAGGGAGGGGTTTTAAAGAGACAACTGGTGAAACATTTTATTGCCCTTTTCCAGACCTTTACCTCTGTTACAATGCTATGCTTTTTAAGGTGTATTCATGTTGTAGGTATATCTAAAGCATGGTTTGTAAGAACTGCATAGAATTCCATATTTGTATTCCATTTTGATTTCCTAATCATTCACTTAAGGAAATCAAAGTTACATAAAGCTCCATGCTACAACATGATCACAGCAAAAATTCTCAGACAGGTCTAGAAAGTCTGTGTGTGTGTGTGTACGTGTATATATATATCTAACCTTCTTTGGGATTTATCCACCAGGGTGGGATCACTGGATTATAGGGCATACTTAATGTCACTAAGTACAGCCAGATCACTTAGCGGAGTGGCTGTATCAGTTTACACTTTTACTCATAGTGCATGAGAATTCTTGCCTCCCCACATTTTTTCCAATTTTGTTAAATTTTGTCAAAGTCAAATTCCAACAATTTTTTACTTTATAAAAGTTTGTGTTTTTAGAGTCTTATTTATGAAGTCTTTCTGTTCTCTAGTGTTTTCTGTTATATAGTGTTAGCACCCAGTAGTTTTTTATACAGACCTGTTTATATGGCCTTTTTTAGAGATTTCTTTCCATTCCTTCTCACCTTTGGCTCTCAGGGGGCTTGGCAGGTGGTGTTAACTTTTGGCTGCTCTTGGTGGAAAAAAAAGTGTGAGAAAATAGATGCATCTTCCCCCTTCCCTTCCAGCTACACACACTTCTCTGAGCCCCGCTCTTCCACTCACAAGGTTGGGCCCCATTGACCCTGTTTGTGCTACATGAACCCTGTCTGCTCAGCTGTAGCTGATTGGAAAGAGATGCATACCTACCCAAGCTGAGTACTCACAGTCTTCCTCCAAGGAATTTGAAATTAGAATATCTCAGCTAGCCTCTGGAAGCACAGGCAAATTGAGGGGTTTGAGGGTGACCATCTTTCACTGTGTGCACAAAGAAGCTAGAGAAATAGTCTGCAGAGAAAGGAGAATAAAGAAAATGTGCACAGAGAAACGAAAAAGTCTTATGGTATCTTAGAAAGGGAGAGAGAGATTGAACTAGAATGTGAAAGTAGCTGTCCTGGATCCTGATGGCTTTCCAGTTTCTGGTTCTAGTCTCTCCTGAGACCACATTGCATTTCCTTTTCTGTTTTAGTTAGGGGCGGTTAACTGCTGTAACAGATAGTCTCCAAAGTGTATAGTGATCCTAACACAATGGAAGTTTATTTCTTATTCATATAAAGAGGTCCAGATGACTCTAAGTTAGTGCGGTGGCAGCAGTGGAGGACTGTACTACATGGTTATTCAAGAATCCAGGTTGATGGAGGCTATGCCATTTTTAACACGTGGCTCCTAAGGTCTCTCTGGTTGTCAGCATCCATCCCACAGAAGGGAAATGATCATGGAGTTGAATAACTTGGGAGGTTTTATAGGCCAGGCCTTGAACTAGCAGGATCACTTGCATTCCTTTGGCTGACACTCAAGTCACATGGCCACATTTAATTGTGGGGAGTCTGAAAAATGTGGTCTAGCTGTGGACCCAGAGGAAGATAATATAGGTTTGGTAAACAGCTAGAAATTATCACATTAGTGTCTGTGTGAGTGATACCTCTATATCTTTTCTTAAAAAAATTCCAAAGTATTATGGGGGTACAAATATTTTTGCTTACAAGGATTCCTTTTGTAATGCTTGAGTCAGGGTTATAAGTGTGACTGTCACTCAGATAGTGTTCATTGTACCCATTAGGTAGGTACTCATTGCCCAGTCCCTCCTCCCACCTCCCCCCAATTGATTTCCATTGAGTTATACTTCCTGGTATGCACTTATGTGCTCAGTGGTTAATTCTTTATCCTATTTTTTCTTAAACTTGTTTGAGTTGGCCTCTGTTATTTGTATCTTAATGCATGAGGTGTTTTAATGATAGCCATATTTAAAATAGTAGAAGAGGTAAAAACTTACTTATTCATTTTCTCAGGAAAGTTGGGCCGATTTCCACCTATGATGCATCATCACCAGGCCCCCTCAGATGGCCAGATCCCTGGGGCTCGTTTCCAGAGGTCTCACCTTGCAGAGGCGTTTGCAAAGGCCAAAGGATCAGGTGGAGGCACTGGAGGAGGAGGTAGTGGAAGAAGTCTGATGGGGCAGATTATTCCAATCTACGGTTTTGGGATTTTTTTATATATACTGTACATTCTGTTTAAGGTAAGTGGAATCATCTTAATCATATTACATCAATGAAAAATCTAATATTGCAGTAAAAATCATTGTCTACATTAAAACACTTTACAGTTCATAAAGTTCTTTCAAATTCATCATCTTTTTTTTGAAAGGCAATGAAAAGGGCCATTATTACCCTAAGAATAGTCTCACTGGATCTGGATTTGATTTCTTCGTTCTCTTCCCATTTATTTATTTATTTATTTCAGCATATTATGGGGGTACAAATGTTAAGGTTACATACATTGCTCTTGCCTCTTCTCCCCCCTTGAGTCAGAACTTCAAGCGTGACCAACCCAGACAGTGCGTCTCGCACTCATTATGTATGTATATACCCATCCCCTCCTCAACCCTCCCATCTGCCCGACGCCCAATAAATGTTATTCTTATATGTCCACTTAGGTGTTGGTCCGTTAATACCAATTTGCTGGCGAGTACATGTGGTGCTTGTTTTTCCATTCTTGGGATACTTAGTAGAATGGGCTCCAGCTCTATTCAGGAAAATACAAGAGGTGCTATATCTCCATTGTTTCTTATAGCTGAGTAGTACTCCATGGTATACATATACTACATTTTATTAATCCACTCATGTATTGATGGGCACTTGGGTTGTTTCCACAATTTTGCAGTTGTGAATTGTGCTTCTATAAACATTCGAGTGCAGGTGTCTTTTTTATAGAGTGTCTTTTGTTCTTTTGGGTAGATGCCCAGTAATGGGATTGCTGGATCAAATGGTAGATCCGCTTGTATTGCTTTAAGGTATCCCCATATTGCTCTCCATAGAGGTTGCACTAGTTTGTAGTCCCACCAGCAGTGTAGGAGTGTTCCTCTCTCTCATCCACACCAGCATTTATTGTTTGGAGACTCTTTGATAAAGGCCATTCTGACTGGAGATAAGTGATATCTCATTGTGGTTTTGATTTACATTTTACTGATGATTAGAGATGTTAAGCATTTTTTCATGTTTGTTGGCTATTATTCTGTCATCTTTTGAAAAGTTTCTGTTCATGTCCTTTGCCCACTTTTTGATAGGGTTGTTTGATTTTTTTCCTGCTGATTTTCCTGAGTTCTAAATAGAGTCTAGTTATCAGCCCCTTATCAGATGTGTAGCATGCGAAAATTTTCTTCCGTTCTGTAGGTTGTCTGTTTGCTCTCATAACAGTTTCTTTGGCGCTGCAGAAGCTTTTTAATTTGATCAGGTCCCATTTATTTATTTTTGTTGTTCCTGTGATTGCCTTTGGGGTCTCCTTCATAAATTCTTTGTCTGGGCCAATGTCTAGAAGAGTATTTTCATTGTTTTCCTCTGGAATTCTAATAGTTTCATACCTAAGTTTAAGTCTGTTACCCAGCGTGAGTTGACTTTTGTGAGAGGTGAAAGGTGTGGATCCTGCTTCAGTCTTCTACATGTAGCTATCCAGTTTCCCAGCACCATTTATTGAATAAGGATTCTTTTCCCCAGTGTATGTTTTTGTCTGCTTTGTCAAAGATTAGATGGCTATATGAGGATGGTTTTATATCTGGGTTCTCAGTTCTGTTCTCCTGGTCAGTGTCCTATTCTTGTGCCAGTAACAAACTGATTTAATTACTACAGCCTTGTAGTATAGTTAGAAATCTGGCAAATTGATACCTCTCATTTTATTTTTATTGCCTAGAATTGCTTTTGCTATATGGGGTCTTCTCTGGTTCCATATGAAGTGTAAAATTATTTTTTCTATATCTGTGAAAAATGATGTTATTGTAATAGGGATTGCATTGAATCTTTAGATCACTTTGGGTAGTATAGACATTTTAACAATGTTGATTCTGCCTACCCCCGAGCATGGTATGGATTTCCATTTGTTTACATCCTCTGCTATTTCATTCCTCAGTGTTTCATAGTTCTCCCTGTAGAAGTCTTTTACCTCCTTAGTTAAGTATATTCCTAGGTACTTTATTTTCTTTGTTGCTATTGTGAAGGGTATTGATTTTTGATTTGGTTCTCAATTTGACTGTTTTTTGGCATATAGGAATGCCTCTGATTTCTGTGTATTGATTTTGTATCCTGAGACTTTACTAAATTCATTTATCAATTCCAGGAGTTTCTTGGTTGAATCCTTGGGATTTTGTAAATATAATATCATATAATCAGCAAAGAGTGAGAGTTTGATCTCTTCTGCCCCATTTGAATGCCTTTAATTCCACTTTCACATCTGATTGCTATAGCCAGGACTTCCAGCACTTTGTTGAATAGAAGTGGAGATAGTGGGCAGTCTTGCCTGGTTCCAGTTCTATGTGGGAATGCTTTCAATTTTTCCCCATTCAGTATGATGTTTGCTGTGGGTCTGTCATACATGGCTGGTACCATTTTTAGGTAAGTCCCTTCTATGCCTATTCTGTTAAGTGTTCTTATCATAAAAGGGTGTTGAATTTTGTCAAATGCTTTTTCTGCACCTATTGAAAGGGTCATATGGTCTTTGTTTTTGCTTCTGTTTCTGTGGTGAATTGCATTTATAGATTTGCATATGTTGAACCATCCCTGCATCCCTGGGATGAAGCCCACTTGGTCATGATGGATTATTTTCTTGATAAGCACCTGGATTCGGTTAGCTAGGATTTTGTTGAGAATTTTTGCATCTATATTCATAAGTGATATTGGTCTGTAGTTTTCTTTCTTTGTTGCATCCTTTCCTGGTTTTGGTATCAAAGTGACGTTGGCTTCATAAAATGAATCAGGTAGGATTCTATCCATCTAAATGTTGTGGAATAATTTCTGCAGAATAGGCACCAGTTCTTCTTTGTAGGTGTGGTAAAATTCGGGTGTGAAACCATCTGGTCCGAGACTTTTCTTTTTAGGAAGGTTTTTAATTGCTGTTTCTGTTTTACCACTTGGTATTGATCTGTTCAGAAATTCTATTTCCTCCTGGTTGAGCCTAGGGAGGCTATGTGTTTCTAGAAATTTGCCCATTTCCTCCTCATTTTCCAGTTTGTGTGCATAAAGGTTTTTTTAGTATTCATAGATTATATCTTGTATCTCCGTGGCATCAGTTGTAATATCTCCTTTTTTGTTTCTGATGGAGCTTATTAGAGATTTCTCTTTTCTGCTTTTCGTTAATCTAGCCAAAGACGTGTCAATTTTTTTTCCAAACAACCACCTTTTAGTTTTATTAATCTTCTGTATAGTTTCCCTGTTGTCAATTTCATTTAGTTCTGATTTGATCTTGTTAATTTCACTTCTTCTGCTGGATTTGGGGTCATTCTGTTATTCTTTTTCCAGCTCTTTGAGTTGATTCATTAGGTTCTCTATTTGTGATCTTTCTGAATTTTGGACATAGGCATTTATGGAAATAAACTTTCCTCTCAGGACTGCTTTAGCTGGTCCCACAGAATTTGATAACTTGTATCTCCATTGTCATTAAGTTCAAATAATTTTTTGATTTCCATTTTGATTTCCTCATTTATGAAATAATCATTCAGCAGAAGTTTGTTTAATTTTCACATTTTTATGTAGAAATGTGAGTTTCTGTTAGGGTTGATTTCTACTTTTATTCCACTGTGATCTGAGAAGATACATGGTATAATTTCTATTTTTTAAATTTTTTGAGACTTGCTTTGTGTCCTAGGATATGGTCAGTCTTAGAGAATGTCCCATGAGCTGATGAAAAGCATGTATATTCAGTGGATTTGGGGTAGAATGTCCTGTAAATGTCAGTCAGGCCCAATTGTTCTAGAGTTTTGTTTAAATCCATTATTTCTTTATTACTTTTCTGTTTGGAGAATCTGTCCTGTGTAGTCGGCAGGGTGTTGAAATATCCGGCTATTATGGAGTTGCTGTTTATCAATTTGCTTAGATCAAGTAGGGTTTGCTTTATGAATCTGGGTGCACCTAAGTTGGGTGCATATATATTTAAAATTGTTATGACTTCTTGTTGAACTTGATCCTTCACCATTATATAATGACCTTCTTTGTCTTTCATTACTTTTGTTGGTTTAAAAACTAAGTTATCTGAAATCAAAACTGCCATGCCAGCCTTCTTTTGGCTTCCATTTGCTCGAAATACTGATCTCCATCCCTTTACCTTTAGTCTATATGCAATCCTTGCAGGTTAGGTGAGTTTCCTGAAGACAGCATATACTTAGCTTGTATTTTTTTTATCCATTCATGCAGCCTATGTCTTGAGTGGGGAGTTTAAGCTATTCACATTTATTGAGAGAACTGATAGGTGGGGCAAATTTCTATTCATCCTGTTGTGTTGGACTTTGTTGCTTTGTTTTCTCTCTTGAGCCATTGTGGTATCTGGCCTTTAATCTTTAGCTTTTGAGTGGTTTTACATTTGTGAGTATTTATTATGCTGATCTGTGTGTAACACTGTTTTTAGTACTTCTTGGAGGGCTGGTGTTGTCTAGGTAATTCACTCAGTCTTTGCTTATCTGAGAATGTCTTTATTTATCCTTCATATATAAAACTTAGTTTTGCAGGATACAAGATTCTAGGCTGGGCATTATTCTGTTACAGGAGAGTGAGAAAGGGGCCCCAGTCTCTCCTTGTGAGGTTTCAGTTGAGAAGTCTGGCATTACTGGGATTGGCTTTCCTTTGTATGTTACTTGCTTCTTTTGCCTTACAGCTCTTAGAAGGGCCTCTTTAGTTGATATTTTGGTCAGTCTGATGACTACATGTCGTGGTGTCTTCCTGTTTGCATGGAATATCCCAGGGGTCCTTTGAGCTTCTTGTACTTGGATATCTAGATTTTTAGCAAGGCCTGGGAAATTTCCTTCAATTACATCTTCAAATAGCTTATCCAACCCTTGTGTGTTTTCTTCTTCCCCTTCCGGAATCAACAACAACCTCAAGTTAGGTTTCTTCATATAATCCCACAATTCTTGTAAGCTTTGCTCTTTTCTGTTATTTTTCTGCTCTATCTCTGTGACTAACTTATTTAATTGGAAGGTGTTATCTTCAATCTCTGAGATTCTTTCTTCTGTTTGATCTACTCTGTTCTTGAGGCTTTCCACTGTGTTTGCATGAGAGCTGGTGTTCCTCTTTGGGGGTGGGAGGTGCTTTCCATTTGATTCTTCATACTTCCAGAATTCTTTTGCTGAGCCCTCCCCATCTTGATCAGCCATTTTTTTTTCATTTGGAGAGTAACAGGCCCTGTGTAGCCTCTGTTCCTATAGGTGCTATAGGAGTGAGGCAGCCTGGTTGTATGTACTTCTATGGTTACTTGATCTGCCACTTGGGGGAGCTGCTATTGTGTTGTTCAGAGCTCTTCTACCATAGTTGGGAGGCTACTCCTGATGGGAGGGGTCACTTGGGGAGCCTGTTGTGATCTCTTGTGGAGATTCTTGTTTCTTGACCATGGACCTCACTGTTGGCAGCTGGCCGGGAGTGGAGATCCAGCCCCAGCGTTTTGATCCTACTGGGTGACATAAATCGGTCTGACGAGCAAAGTCACTGGGCTGTCAGCTATTGATCTACCCCAAGGTCTGGTGGATTCACACTATTTGCAGAGGGAAAGTGGCTTTTCTTCAAATTCATCATCTCTTTAAACCATGCCTCCCCTTTGTGAGGTACTTAGGATAGCTATCATCTCAGTTTTAGAGATGAGAAATCTTCGCTTAGAGTTTAAGTGATTTGCCCCAGAATGTACAACTAAAAAGGCAGAAGCAGGATTTGAACCTGGATGTTCTGGTTCCTAACCCAGTGAGTGATATAATTCAAAATTACCCCCTCCAAAAGAAATTTTGAAAATCTTTACAAACTGAAAAGGCATAAATATTTTCTAAGAAGAGCTTTGTTATTAGGACTGGTACAATGATTTCCAGCTAGCCACTGTTAGGCCAAGTAATGACTGTGCCAGCAGCACTTTGTCCTCTTCCTTTTTTCCCCCCACAGGGATATGACATGCTGTTTTTGATATCATCTCCTATAATTCTCCTGAAACAGAACTGTCATGTCCTGAAATTAAGCCTGATATTTCCTAGCTCTGGTAAGACATGATTTGGGTCCTTTAAAAGCAAACCCCCGGTTAAATTCCAACTTCAGCTAGGCTTCTGTAAGCCATGAGCCTGTGCACTGTGGAGTAGAGGCAGAAGCTTCACTTTGTCCTCCAACTAGAGTAAGGTTAAGTGAGATGAGTTCCTTCTTATCCAGGAATTCTGCAGGCAGCCTGACTTGAGTCTACAATAATGCCTCTAGGGTGGTGCACATCCTTTTAGATGAGCATTAGCGAGGTAGATAACCTGTAGGAAGATTTTTTTTTTTCATTGTGCCTTGATAATTTTTTACTTGGAGATCTTATTTTGCAGTGGCTTTTCTTTTAGATATTTTTCTAATGTTGCTATTTGATTTGATTTCTGTATAATTTTTGTTTCCCAACCTTTTTTTTTTTTTTTCATTTAATGTGAGGGGTTCTGTGACTTTGAGGTTCTGAGCTGCTGTTGATGTGCTATACCTCCTTCAATTCTCAGCTCTCAAAGGGGAAAACAACTGCAGAGGATCGGAAATGCTCTACTGCCACACCTGGAAATGCCCACAGGAAAATTAGTAAGTGCTCCCTCTTAGTATATTCATAAGTATTATTGAGTTAGACAGCTGTAATACAGCCAGATGGACAGTCTGTGGGTATGTCTTAAAAGCATTTCTCAAAAGTTGCTCCAAAATTAATCTGATGCCATTTTTGCCTTAGTTCTGGGAATTCTCAAAAATTCCCATATTGATGTTGGGCTTTTAAGGGAAGGATAGCTATAAAAAGTACAAAATTGCTGCTTCACTTTTTTTATATATATTAGCAAATTCAATATTTCACATTTGGAATGCATTACTTCTTATTTCTAGACTTCAAAATATTGGTAGCAAATGTCTTTATTTCACAGAGATGAAAACTGTGGCAGAGAAATCATTGCCATTGCCAAAATTGGTTATTAGATCCAGGGAAAAAGTTTAATTAACACTTCTGACTCTTGAAATTTGGTCATCAAATATTTATTCCCCACCTAGAATATTCTATGTTCTTGGAGGAAATCAGATGTATACAGCATAGCTCTTTCCTCTAAGAATTTATGGAAATAGAATAGAATAGAATAGAATGAATAGAATAGAATAGAATGAATGTCAGGAAAAATAACTTGTGAAAAGTTTTCCACCTAGAAAGAAGGGACTTGGCAAAAGCATTGCAGGAAATCATGTCCATCTAGGTCACAATTGCTTTTTTTTAATTTACTCATGAATTTTCTATGGAACTAGATATTCCCAGTCACATTTTGCATCCTTTTGGAAATCTTAAATATTCAAAGAATCCTTTAAGAAAGCTGCTATGTTCTTAAACAAGATATTAATGGGAAATGTATCAGTAAAATAATTTTTTAAAAATTGTTGGATTCTTTAAAGGGGGTAGGGAATTATGTATGATGGTTCTTAGATTGATATTATTTTTTCAGCCAATTTTGAGCTTGCTCAACTGCAAGAAAAACTGAAGGAGACAGAGGAAGCCATGGAAAAATTGATCAACAGAGTAGGACCTAATGGTGAGAGGTAGGTTTTCATTTAACCGAATTCAGACTACTTCCCATTTAGAGAATCAATTCAAAATTTTGCATTTCTTTGATAAATGGACCACATATTTTCATTTCATGTAATTGTCAACTTATCATTTACATATTCTTTTTCATACGATGTTTCCATTTTCATACTATAAAGAACCTCAGTTTTTAAGAGTTAGTATTATATAAATTATTGTGATAGTAAATTTGTAAGTATATCATGCAGGGTAAAATAACTAGGTTTTAAGAAAGACAATTTTCTAGCTGTCTAAAAAAGGTATAATTTTAAGTAAAACCAGATTATTGAATATTGTGCTTTCTATTTGAGACAAAATGAGAGAAGAGAGCAAATGTGCTTAGATTAGGCATTTGTGTTTTGTGTTGACTGCCAGCACAGAACTAGATGTGTAAAGTAGGTGTCCAGAGCCAAGCTAGCCTTTTAGGATGCCCCACAGAGAAGACTTATACTCTTCTTGTTGCTAGGCTGCTTGAGAATCTTAAAAGGTGACTTCAGGAGGTTGATGGAAGTGAGCAACAACTAAGAAAATATGGATGTAGGTTTTTTCAGGGAGGAAAAACCAGAATGTGAGATTGAGAACAAAGAGGAATTCAGTTTTAGCTATGCCTTTGACAAGGCTGGAAGAAGAATGACAGGGTGAGTGGCAAAACCCCATGCAGGAGGATGTGTTGAAAGGTCCTTCCTACAGCTTTGGCAGCACATTGCGGACTCTTTGCCCCAGGAAATCGCTGTTCACCTTGGCATCTTCTATAATATTTGCCATCCTTGATGGTATAATGCCCCATGCCCTTTCTCTGTTCACTGGCTCCAGCCTTGTCCATCTTTGTCTGGATAGGAGAAGAGTGGGTATTCTCAGATTGCAGCCTCCTGGCATTTCCCTGCAATGTATACAGTATGGTCAAAATGACATTTAAGGGGGTGAACCTTGCCTATCTGGGCCCAGGAAACTTGACCTTCTTTTGGTATGGAAAGCAAGGTCACTATCAGAATGATCCCCAAAGTGTATAGATACATGAATATATCTGTGTGTGTGAGATAATAGTTGATATTTATTGAACACTTACTAAGGACCATGCTCTGAGCTAAGTGCTTTATATACATTATCTAATGTATGGCTGTTTATGTGAGTGTGACTAAAGCATTTTGTGTAGTTATGCTTTTCTGGCCTTTTCTGCCTCTGCCCTATAGCTGCCACTTACAGTCTGGGTGGAGAGCTACCCAGGATTTTATAGACCCTCATGCTTCAAAAATATCTTTAGTCTGGGCCATTGGAAGCCCCAGGCCACACCTAAGGGTCATGAAAACCATGACGAATACCTATGGGCAGGACCTCTCACTTGGGAGACCTGGGCCTTGGGGTAAGGAACCACATGAAGATATTTCCTCATTGTTGATTAACAGACTCCTTTAACTCAAATCAAATTACCCACCATTCAACCCATGTACACCGTCTGTCTGTAGCCCGGATGTGATACTATAACGCTTAACTACCATCTGTCCTCTTTGTGCCAGGTTTACTTCTCCATGTTTTATGTGCCAAGGCAGAGGAGTTGTCACTAAGCTGCAGCTGGAGTTGTACCATCTCCTTATTTCTGGTGCCAGAGGTCCTATCCTAGAATGTTTATTTTTTGTAAGGTGCTAAGGTGTGGACTCCTGAGAACATACTGATTCAAGCCTGAAACATGGCAAAGGTTATGTAAAACATTTTCCACAGTACTTCTCAGGAACTGGAGAGCAGCTTTTCTTCCACTGAAGAGAGCACACCTCCTGACTCTTTGCCAGTCTTTCATTTTCCAGTCCATAAGATGTGACTTTCTGATACTCCTTAATCCAACATCTTTTATCCTTACAGGTGGGCCCTGAGGGACTATGGGTCCTCAAAACTGGCAGCTAGGCAGCCTATGTGTCTTAATCTGTTTTCTGATGCTTTAACTGAATACTACAGATGGGATAATTTATAAAAAATAGAAGTTTATTTGGCTCATAGTTATGGAGACTGAGAAGTCCAAGTTCGACAGGCAGGTGTCTGGTGAGGCCTTCTTGCTGCGTCATCCTATGGTAGAAAGGCAAGCTAGCGTGTGGAAGAGAGTGAATCACGAGAAGCCAGACTCCCTTTATAACAATCTGCTCTTGCAATAACTAAACTACTTCCTCAGTAATGACATTTATCCATTTGTGAAGATGCTACTATCATGACCTAATCATTTCTTAAAGGGCCCGCCTCTAAATACTGTTACAATGACAATTATGTTTCAGCATGAATTTCAAGGGGACTAATATTCAAATCATTGCACCATGTTTCTGCATTGTTTTCATTTTTATACTTTATATCCTTTAATGTCAGTTTCTGTGGCATTGGTTCTTTTACAAGTCTGTGCTTCTATGATTATTATAAGAGCCCAAAATACTCCAGTGTTTTTTCAGTCAAATCAAAATTGTATCACATTTCCAGGCTTCTGGTGGTCAAGCAGAGAATTTAAGACAAAGAAGACACATTCATTTATAGCTTCCCAAGTCTTTATGTACTATTTATTCCACAACTACAAGATGTTGTTGGCTTAAAGTTTGAGAAATATGCAGTTTATGAAACTTTATCTTAATGCTTACATAAGAATAGAAATATGGAAAAGGTTTTTGATATTATCTAATAAAACTTTTCAGGTAGCTTTCACATTTAAATAATGAAACCTTCTGGAAGGTCAGTATTGTGTCATATTAGCTCTGATACTAAGCAAAATACCCCACGGACACAAAGACTAAGGAAAAGATCTAGGAATCAGAAGTGCGGTGTCCTCATTTCTGTTTTTATAGTCAGCAGAACTTCCTACCTGGAGCGTCATGCCTGGTTGTAATGGTTTATCTGTGAGAAGTGCGGTATGGCTCAAGAGATTGCAAAGAGCCCTGGTAGGCATGTTGAGTATGTTTGTGGGACTATAGATTTCTGGCATGAATTGTGGAAATGTAAACTCTTTGAGGACAGAGTTAATCTGTTTTGTTCTCTGTGTTCATATAGTACGTACTAAGTAAATATTTGTTGTTGAATAAGAATAGATATTCACTTTTGATATAAGCATTTGTATTAATACATTATTTTTGTGGTAGAAGAGTAAATCATGACCATTCCCTGTTGAGATCTTTTTCTTCAGTTCCTGACCTCTATATTCAGAGCCCTACTAGCCATATCCCATAGATACCTACCCTTAGCCTCATCAATTGATAAATCTCTCTTGAATGAATGAATGTCCAAAATGGAACTCATCATCTATTCCCAACTGAACCTACTCTACCTTTAATATTGGCATCTTAGCAAATGGCTCCACCATCTACTTAGTTGCCCAAAGTGGAAATTAGATATCATCTTTGATTTACCTTTTTTCACTTTCTACAACTCATCAATCACCATGTCTTATCATTTCCACTGACTTAATTAATAAGTCAGTCTTCCTGCAAAAGACTGTAAGTTCCATAAGGATAGGGATTATCCTTCTTAGTTCTAGAGCCTAGCACAGGTCTATAAAGGCTCTAGAAAAGCATTAGTTGCAGTGGAAGAAAGAATAAGTGGTGAGTGAAAGCCTTTGTTTTTGACATAGATCGTAACTATCTGGTGGTTTCTTTTTCTCTGATTTTGTCTCCCTTCAGTTTACTTTCTACTTTCCAGACAGATGGATTATCTCTTTTGTTTTAATCCTTCAACAGGTCCCTTTTGATCTGGAAAAAGTACGGAATCTTTAACATGGCTTACATGATCCTGAGTGACCTGATTGGTCTTGCATACCTCTATTGCTTTCCCTTTCTCCATCACTTGCTGTCTGTAGTCCAGCCACACTGACCACTTGTTCCTCTAAAATCCTGTGCACTTTTGCTCCTAGGACTTTACAGATAATTTTTCCTTTGCCTGGGATGTCCCTTCTCTCCCACCCCCGTAGTACACACTTATTTTGATTCTTGCTTATCTAAATAGGTCTCAAAATTGACATCATCTTCTCTGAGAGTTCCTCCCTGAACTCACAGAACTTGGTTAGAGGCTCCTCCCCTATGTTTGCACAACACCCGGGTTTGCTTGTGATTACATGCATCATACTACTTTCTGATAACTTTTCTGTCTTCCCTAATGCCCTGTAACCTTGAGGGCAGAGAATTTGCATTGTTCAAATTTGTATTTCTCATACTGGCACATTGACAGTGTCAGTAGATATTGAAAGAGTGAATGAGGTCAGTCTAGAGAAAGTACTTTAAAGAGGGCGGCTTCTGCCATGAGAATGTCTTCTTTGGTACCTATTTTCCTTTACTCTGCACAGTCCTGTGTGGTGTCAGTGGCAGGTATTATTTCTCTATGTGGAACTGTATCTAAGAGAAGGGAAAGTGTGCTGTAGGAACATATATTAGTTTTCTGTGGCTGCTGTAACAAGTTACCACAAACTTAATGGCTGAAAGCAACACACGTTTACTATCTTACAGTTCTGTAGGTTAGAAGTCCTATACTGAGTAAAAACCAAGGTGTTGGCAGGATTGCATTCTGTTTTTGAGGCCGTGTGGGACAATCTGTTTCCTTACCATTTCTAGCTTCTAGAATCCTTGGCTTATGGCCCCCCTCTTCTGTCTTCAAAGCCAGCAACAGTACGATTGAGACTGTCTCATATCGTCTCACTCCGACCTCTTCTGCCTACCTTTTGCACTTTTAAGGACCCTTGTGATTACATGGTACTCTCCCAGATAATAAAGGATCATTTCCCTGTTATAAGGTCAGCTGATGAGCAACATTAACTCCATCTATAACCTTGCTTCCCCTTACATGTCAGGTAACGTAGTCATAGGTTCCAGAGATTAGGACGTGGACATCTTTGGGGGGAGTGCATTATTTTGCCTACCACACAGAGTCTTGTGGAAAAGGGAGAATCTGAATAAGCCTTTCAGGATGGAAGGATTTCCTCAGGCAGAGTTTGGAGAAAGAATGCTTCAGAGGGAGTGGGCAGCACAAGCAGCAAACAAGGTGAGTGAATCAGGCATGGTTTTGGAACAGTAGGTAGTCCTAAGTAACTGAGGTGGTATCCACCAGGACTGAGGTAAATGGGTAGGGAGGTAGGCAGTGAGAGAAAAACTAGAAAAACAAACGAGGGCCAGACTGGAAGACCTGAGTGGTGGTAGGCTGCAACGTTTGGAATTCATTGTCTTTACAGTGGACTTCTTCTGAAGGCTTTTGAGGAGAAATGTCATGATCTTCTGTGCTTTAGAAAAATAACTCTTACAGTAATATGTAGAGTGCCTACAGGCTAGAAATTTATTGAAATAGTTCTAGCAAAAGATAATAAATAGGCCAGTGAGAGTGGAAAAGAGGGGCCATAGTAAGGGTACTTCATGGAAGGAAAAAAATCACAGGCTATATCACGATACTTTGGGCCTTCGTATAAAAAGTCAAGAATAAAGGTAGAATTCAGGCTCCTTTTCAGTAGAGGTGATGATTTAATCTGTGATACTGGTTCAGATTCTTGAGAGATTGATTATAAGAATGGAGAAATGAGAGTCCTACGATTGAGCCTTGGGAAAGCCATGTTTTAGGAGGTGAGAGGAAGAAAGTGAGCCAGGGTCAAGGATAAAAGTAATGGTTAAAGAAGTGGGAGGAATACAGATGTCTGAAAAGCTAAGGGAGGAGGAAGTTTCAAGGAGAGGATTGTCCACAGCTTAGAGAGGTCAAGAAGAATGAAATGTGAGAAAAAGACCCTTGGACTTAGGAGTAAAGGGGTCATTGATGATTTTTGCAAATTTTGGTAAAATGATAGAATGGGAGCCAGAATTCAGGGAGGTGGAAGAAAATGGATGATGAGGAAATGAGGACTAGTCAAACTAATACATAATTATTGAATATTTACAGCGATCATGGCACTGTGTCTATACGGTTATGAACTTAATTATCACTGCCCTCTAGGAGTATCAAACCAAGTTGAGACAATAAGGAATCCATGAAAACATTCATTGCAATAAATTCAAAAGAGGTCATAAGGTGGACCATGATTAATTGCCTAATGCTACAGCCCCCAACCTCCGGGCCATGGACTGGTAGTGGTGCTGTTGGGAACTGGGCCACAGAGCTACGCCTCTCCCCAGCTCCATCCCCCCATCCATGGAAAAATTGTCTTCCATGAAACCGGTCCCTGGCGCCAAAAAGGTTGGGGATTGCTGACATATCATATGGAGAATATGAGTATACTTGTTCAGAGTTAAATGATGCTTTAGTTTGGAATTCTCTGAGAAAGCTCTTTTCTGTTCTTGCTTCCCCTAGCTGCCTCATCCTCTTGTAGTTAAAGGCTTCTGGTTTTTCATGACTTAGGAAACAGAACCAAGACTGTTTCATTCAGTAAAGATCAGAATGCTCTGTGTACAGTACAGAGAAGTAACAAGTGCAGCCTGAGGGCAAGAGCTTTTTGATTAGCAGGTAGTGTCTTCCAGTCTGCCCCAGAAGGCTTCCTCAAAGTGGGCTATTTTAATAGTAAGAATTAGGGGTTATGTGGGGCATTAGCTGTTGGGATGAGTCAGGCCTCCTAAGTTGAAGGGAAGAATAGAGCTGTCAGAGGCTTCTAAGTTTAGAATTTTAGTTGAATGGAGAACAAGATAGGTTTCTTTGAAGTCATTTAGCATGGAAGAAGTGGAGCTCATGGTGTTTTTGTTTTCCTTCCACTGTCTAGAACTGTTACACCTTCATTTTCCTCAGTTATCCTCTTAATGTTGAAAGGAGAAATACTTTTTTCTGTTTCCCTATTAGTTATTAGGCTAAAGTTTGTGAGGCTGAGCATAAAAAGGAATGCAAGCTCAGAACTGGTTTGTTAGACAATAATATGGCATCTGTACTAGGCTGGTAGAGTTTTTCCTTCCTAAGTGTTATAATAACTTGGAATGCTTAGGGTTTTTAAGAGGAGAACAAGCAGTCTCTGTTAAATCCTGCCACTAGATAAAACTGATCTCAAAGCAGATAGTTCTGAGTCTTTTAAGTAGGGCCTTGTTTGCTTATCAATGTGATACAGTCCTCTCTCAAAGAAAATAATCATACTATTGTAATCCTTGAGCATCATGTTATTTTTGCGGATATTTTCCCAGGGCCACACAGCTAAATTGGGACTCAACCCAGGTTTTCTAAACTGTGGAACTTCAGCACCGTGATTCAAGAATTGTACAGAATACTATTAGAAGTCAGGATAATTTTGGTTATCATGCTGCCATTAACTAGCAGTATAAATACATTTATAACCCAATTTCTGTCTAGATGACTGAATTTTCAGAATTACCCAGCTCTAAAATTTTAGAATATATCATTGTTCCTACACAAGTTAATTAAGCCTGGTGATTCTAGTAGCGTATTTTTCCCAGAGCGTTTACCTTTGACAACTTTGGTTTAGAAAAAAGTGGCTTATAGTAAGTGGAGTAATATCAGAAACAGTGGAAATTGCTAGGATATTAGAGAATCAGGGCTGTGAAGTATACTGAAAGAACATTGGACTGAAAGCTGAGACATCTAAGGTCTGGTCCCAGTATTGACATTAACCATTGTGGGACCTTGGTCAATCACTTGATCTATTCTGGGCCTTACTTTTCCCATTTTTATAATCAAAACATTGAACTAACATCAGTAGTTCCCAGTTGTGCAAATTCAGGATCAATTCCTAGAATAATTATCTGCTTCTGTTGGACTTCCTATTCTAGCATCTAGACAGATCATAGTGATGTTTATGTCCATTGCTTAGGAGTATTATTGATAAATGGCTGGATTGTCTGATATTTCTAAGCAGAGCACAGACTGTGACTTCTGATCAAGAGAAACGATTGCTGCATCAGCTCCGAGAAATCACCAGGGTCATGAAAGAAGGAAAATTCATTGACAGAACTTCTCCAGAGAAAGAAGCTGAAGAGGCCCCTTACATGGAGGACTGGGAAGGTAAACAGTGTCTTCTCATTTCTTTATTAGCTGTCTGCCCAGAAAAGAGATCATATAAATTTTTTAAAAATCAGCTTTATTACTGAAGTATAATATATATACAATAATGTTCACCAATTTTAAATGTATAGTTGGATGAATATATAGAGTTTGTGTAATCACATCATAAACCTGATATAAACCATTTCCCTCACCCCAGAATGTTCTCTCCTCTTTGCAGCTAATCCCCTCCACCTGCCCCTAGCAACAATTGAAATACTTTCAATCCCTATAGTTTTGCCTTTTCTATATAAATGAGTCATAACCACATATGTTCTTTGGTTTCTGGCTTCTTTAATTTAGCATAATGTTGTTGTTGAATGTATCACTACTTTTTAAAATTGCTGAGTATTCTGTTATTTGCATATACCATAATTTGTTTATCCATTCACCGGTTGAGGAACATTTGGGTTGTTTCTAGCTTTGAGCTCTTATGAATCAAGTTGCAATGAACTTTGCATACAAGTCTTTGTTTGAACATAAATTTTGTTTCTTGTGAGTATATACCTAGGAGTGAAATTTCTGGGTTTTATGGTAAGTATATGTTTACCTTTATTAGAAATTGTTAAACTGGGCCAGGCATGGTGGCTCACACCTGTAATCCTAGCACTCTGGGAGACTGAGGCAGGAGGATCGCTGAAGGTCAGGAGTTTGAAACCAGCCCGAGCAAGAGTGAGACCCCGTCTGTACTAAAAATAGAAAGAAATGAATTGGCCAACTAAAAATATATAGAAAAAATTAGCTGGGCATGGTGGCACATTCCTATAGTCCCAGCTACTTGGGAGGCTGAGGCAGGAGGATTGCTTGAGCACAGGAGTTTGAGGTTGCTGTGAGCTAGGTTGACACCACAGCACTCTAGCCAGGGCAACAAAGTGAAACGCTGTCTCAAAAAAAAAAAAAAAAAAAAGAAAAAGAAATTGTTAAACTGCTTTCCAAAATGACTCTACCATTTTGCCTTCCCAGCAGCAGTGTATGAGAATTGCAGTTACTCCATATCTTTGCTAATACTTGGTATTGTCAATCTTTTTAATTTTAGCAATACTAGGGAATATATAGTGGTATTTCAGTTGTGACTTTAATTTGGATTTCACCAATGACTAATGACGTTGAACATTTTTTAATGTGCTTATTTGCCATCTGCATATCTTTGAAGGGTCTGTTCAAATTGTTTGCCAGTTTTTAAATTGGGTTGATTATGTTCTTACTGAGTTGCAAGAGTTCTTTATATATTCTAGATACAAGTTCTTTATCAGTTATGTATTTTGCAGATAATTTCTCTTAATCAGTGGTTTGCCTTTTTCTAGTTTTTTATGGATTAAAATTTTTTTTTATTTCAGCATATTATGGGGGTACAAATGTTAAGGTTATGTATATTGCCCATGCCCCCCCCCGCCCCGTCAAGTCAGAGCTTCAAGCATGACCATCCCTCAAACGTTGCATATCTCACTCATTATGTTTGTATATACCCATCCCCTCCTCCCCCCTCCCACCTGCCTGACACCCGGTAAATGTTATTATTCCTATATGTCTGCTTAGGTGTTGATCTGTAAATACTAGTTTGCTGGTGAGTACATGTGGTTTTGCCATTCTTGAGATACTTCACTTAGTAGAATGGGTTCCAGCTGCCTTTTTAACAGCATCTTTCAAAGAGCAGAAGTTTTTAATTTTGATGAAGTATGATTTATCATTTTTTTCTTTTATGATTCACATTTTTGTGTCCTGTTTAAGAAATCTTTGCCTAACTCTAGGTTTGCCAAACTCCTATGTTTTATTCTAGAAATTATGGTTTCAGTTCTTAAAATTAGGCTTGTGATCTTAATTTTTATAGGTAGTGTGGCATGTCAGGACTGAGGTTTATTTATTTTTTTCCACATCAAATACTCAATTGTTCCTGCTCCCTTTCTTATATTTAATTCTTGGCATGTGTGTTGAAAATCAGTTAACCATGTATGTCTGTGTCTATTCTGGACTCTGTTTTGTTCCATTGATATATATGTCTATAGTTGTATCAGTATCACTGTCTTTATTACTGTGTCTTTATAGTAAGTCTTAAAATTGGATAGTGTAAGTTTTCTTTTTTCAAAATTTATTCACATTTTCATATAAATTTACAATGAGTGTCTCATTTTTTTATGAAAAAGCCTGATGGGATTTTGATTGGCATTGCATTGAATCTTTAGATCAATTTGGAAGAATTGATGTTATAACAATATTGAATCTTCCAGTTCATGAACCTGTTATATTTCTCCATTTATTTTGATCTTTGAAAATTTCTCTTAGCAATATTTTATAATTTTCAGTGTATAGGTCTTGCACATGTTTTTAATAAATTTATCCCTAAGTAGTTTGTATTTCTTATGAAAGTGATATTTAAAAATTTTTGTTTGCTACTATACAGAAATACAATTGAGTTTTGTATTCTGACCTTGTATCTTATGCCTTGCTAAATGCACTTAGTTCTGGTAGCTTTTTTAAAATATAGATTTCTTGGGATTTTTTCATGTAGATGATCAAATTATCTATGAATAAAGACAGTTTGACTTTCTCGTTTTTAATCTGCCTGCCTTTTTACAATTTTTCTTGCCTCACTCTACTGGCTAGATCCACCACCACAACGCTGAATAGAAGCTGTAAGGGTAAACATCTTTCTTTCCTGATATTGGAGGGGAAAAACATTTTCCATTGGTGTGATGTGGGCTGATGGTTTTTCACAGATGCTCATTTTCAGGTTGAGGAAGCTACATTCTACTCATATTTTTGCTGGGAGTTTTTAGTTATAAATAGGTATTGCATTTTTGTGAATATTCTTTTAAATCAACTATGAGATGATCATATTATTTTTCTGTTTTAGTTGGTTAAAATGGTGGATTACATTGATTTTTGAATTTTAAAACAACTTCATGTTCCTAGGATAAACCCTACTTTGGTATGGTCAAATGGAGATATGGCTAGATTCAATTAGCTGAGGATTTTTTTTATGTTTATGTTTATGAGGGATATTAGTCTGTGGTTTTCTTTTCCTGTAATACCTTTGGTTTTGATTTCAAGATAATGCTGGCCTCATAAAATGTGTTGGGATGTGTTCCTTCTTCTACTTTCTGGAAAAATTTGTATAGAATTGCTGTTATTTCTTCCATAAATGTTAGGTGGAATTCTCAAGTGATACTGTTGTGGCCTGGAGTTTTTTTGGGTTTTTTTGTGGAAGACTTCTAACTATAAATTCAATTTCTTTAATAGATATAGTGCTATTTGGGTTATTTCTTCTTGAATGAACTTTAATAGTTTCTATCTTTCAAGGAACTTACATATTTCACCCAAATCATCAAATTTATTATTAGTATAACGTCGTTTATAATGTTCTCCTATTATCCATTTTATGTATGTAAGATCTATGTGTGGGGGTGTGCCCTGCTCTATTCCTGATACTTGAAGTCTGTTCTTTCTCTCATTTCTTGCCCTGATCAGACTTGCCAGAAGTCAACTTTTTTGTTTTTTTGAAGACAGGGTCTTGCACTAACTATATCAATAGTAATATCCTCGTTGTGACATTGTAGTATATAGTTTTGGTAGTTGTTACCATCAGGAGAAACTGAGTAAAGGGTACATAGGATTATTTCCTTTCTCTCACTTTTTTTTTTTTTTTTTTCTCATGATTTAACTACTATATATCTCTTTTTTTTAATCATCTCACTGTTTTGTCCTAAGTTTTAGAAATTTTTTTTTTTTTTTTTTTTGAGATGGGGTCTCAGTCTGTCACCTGGGCTAGAGTGCTGTGGCATCAGCCTAGCTCATAGAAATCACAAAGACCTGCCTCAGCCTCTCGTAGCCGAGATTACAGGTGCACACCACCATGCCTGGCTAATTTCTCTATTTTTAGTAGAGATGAGGTCTTGCTCTTGCTGAGGCTGGTCTTAAACTTCTGACCTCGAGCGATCCTCCTGCCTCAGCCTCCCAGAGTGGTAGGATTATAAGCATGAGACACTGTGCCCGACCTGCTTGTTTGATTTGACTTTTTTTTTTTTTTCACTTTCTTGCAAAGCAGCTATGCAATATGGAGTAAAATCATTAAAAAAATTTATTCAACATTTTAGGTGTTCTGTGTTAGTAAGATTAGTCAAGATATTTCTTTTATAATAAACTGAAAATGGAAGTCTCGGTCTAAATTTAGTGAGATGAAATTTAATATGGAAAAATGCAAAGTCTTGTGCAAAATTCCCTAAGACTAAGAGTTTTTTTTGTTTTTTTTGAGACAGAGTCTCGCTTTGTTGCCCAGGCTAGAGTGAGTGCCGTGGCATCAGCCTAGTTCATAGCAACCTCAAACTCCTGGACTCAAGCAATCCTCCTGCCTCAGCCTCCCGAGTAGCTGGGACTACAGGCATG